GTATACGAATTTGTATTTTATTAACTGGTCACTAAATACCTCCAATTTATCATTTGCCATATTCACGTTCAGTTCTGCGAATTAAAATCAGCGACTACTGCACTTTATCACTGCCAATTGTAGACTGAATTCTTAGGCGAAGGGCGCACACAAATACAAATGCAACACAGCCGCAGAAGTGTTTCGGACGCGGCTCGTTTCGTATTTCGCTCCTTCGTGTTTTCTTTTTAGCTTTTCTTAATGTTGACGTGGCACGTTCTGTAATATGGCGGCCCTCACTATTGACGCTTTCAGCTTTGGAGAATCCGTATTTCGGGGATGTACCGCTTTCTAGCGCACAGCTACACTTGATTTTATACGCAAGTGTTTACATACCGGTGCGATCGTTTCTTGGCAGCGTTTGATTGTGCGTCGTGTTCACTTTAACATAGACGTGTTTTAAATTTTTGATCATAAATGCATTTATAAGTTTAACTATTTACAATTGTCCTAATTCAAAAAAATAATACAACCCAAATATATACGTGACAAACGGACTGCACCAAAACTCATCCGCTCTTGCGTGTGACTGTATCGTGAAAATAAAAAATACTTCTTTTTAAGCTGACAGCTGTTGTGGGAAATATCGTAGAGTAACCATTGACAGATTATTCGTTAAGCGATACTTAAAGTCTTGCTCCAGCACTAATTGCCAGCCCTGGTTTTAACAGCCCTGTTTTGTTTACTGTGAGTCAATCACTCCAATAATAAAGAATTTTCCCATTTCGTTGCAAAATTGAAGCTGAAATTAAATTGCTTGCATATTTTTAGAATGTTTATGTGAATTGCGTACAACAAACGCTGTCAACAGTAGAAAACAAGATACAATTACCAAACGTACAAAGCGTGTTTATTTCGTAAAGTAGTAGGCGCTGTAAAACAACAAAAACAACAACAATGGTTGGAATTATTGATGAGGCGCAGCTGTTTTATCCGCTAGGCACACGCATCAAAATAGCCAACAATTATGGCACCGTCAAATACGTGGGCGAGGTAAGCTTTGTAACAAATATAATTTTCAATGCCTTTAATCAATTAACAATTGCGTTGCAGGTCAGCGGCCACATGGGCACATGGCTGGGCATTGAGTGGGACGACGGGATGCGGGGCAAGCACAATGGCATGGTCGATGGCAAGCGTTATTTCCAAACCCAAATGCCAACAGCTGGCAGTTTTATACGCCCCGGCAAACTGGGACCCTGTGCCACCCTGGAGGATGAGGCACGGGAGCGTTATCTGAATTACGATTCAAAAAATGTGGACACATCGCTGATACGCGAGGCACAGGCCTCAATGCAAGCATCGCTCTTTGAAGTTGTGGGCATGGACAAGATTGCGCGCAAGCAAAGCAAATTTGAACAGCTGACGGAGATGAGCGTGGACGAGACACCAGTGAATGCAGCCGGCTACCTAAAGGATCTGACGCAGCTGACAACGCTGAATGTGAGCCACACGCTCATTTGGAATTGGGAGATTGTGGCTAGCATAACGCAGCAGCTGCCCATGCTCAACAGCTTGAACTTGGGGTAAGTTGCTGTCTTTTATTTCACTGTAACCTTTTCACGAATAACTTTTTTTTGGCAGATCCAATCGACTAGTGTTGCCTACAGAAACACAAATCAGTGAGCTGGCCCCAGCATTTCGTCACTTGAAACACATTAATTTGGGCAATTGCGGCTTTACGGATTGGCAGGATGTGATGCAAACGGCGCTGCTATGGCCGGACATTGAATCGCTTGGCTTGCAAGAGAATGCACTGAGTCAACTGGACGTGGTCGACTGCAATCGCATTTTCAGGCAGTTGCGTGAACTGGATCTGCATCGCACCAAACTGATGGACTTTGATCAAGTGTGTAAACTGGGCAATATTCGTACCTTGAGTGTGCTCAATCTTATGGAGAATGGTATTGAGCAGCTGCAGCTGCCAGACTGTGAGCCGCAGGCCAAGCTAAATATGTTTGTTTCTCTGGAGCAGCTCAGCTTAATGCAAAACCCCATATGGAATGAGGTGAATAACAATTGAAATTGCAATCATTTCTAGTTTTAAAATTTGATTCTAAACAGACTGAGGCATTCAACGAGCTGGACAAATTACCACAATTGAAGCGCCTAAACAAGACGCCGCATTTGAAGTCGAGCTTCGATGAAATGTTTTCCAAGGCAGTGGCCAGCATAGCCGGCATACAGTTTATCAACAAGGCAAAGGTATCAGCAGAGGAGCGACGTGGAGCCGAATATGATATATGGAAAAAGTATGCACTAGACTGGCTGCAGGCAACCAAATTGGGCGCCGATGCACTGCGCGATTTCTACAAAAAACATCGTACCTATTTGCTGATTGTTAATAGTAAGTTGTAATTCAAGGTTAAAACGAAGCGACTTTTAAAGTTCTCTCTTACTGCCACAGAATATGGATCGCCAGCTGATTTTGTGCCGCGCATTCAGGCCAAACAATCGAATCTCATTAAAGTGCGTATACAGCACCGACTGACAGGTGAAGTTTGGGAAAAGAAGGTGCCCCGCATGATAACTGTGCAAACATTACAAGGACTGGTCATGAAGCGTTTTCATATAGCGGGAGATACGCCGCATCTGTGCTATATAGATGCCAAACATCCGGAGCTTGTGGTGCAATTGGAAAATAATGCTAAAACATTGGATTTCTATTCAGTGCAGGAGCACGATACAGTTCTGGTTGAATAGTGCGGCGCTATAGAATGCAATGTTTTTCGTACCTCCCTTTACTTCAGTAACCCCTAATTTGGTATTCAATTGTGGTATTTTAGCTGTAAAGCAAGCACAAAACAAATTCAAAAGACGTGTATGTTGATTTATATTATATTAACTGTGACTTTGTAACCTATGCAATGCAAAATTAATAATGTTAATGTTAGGTACTTAAGTTTAAATTCCGCTTTTCGATTATATTTATATTCATTTTTGTTTTGTTTTTGCAAAGTAAAAAGGAACGTTTATTAACCAAAGCTACAAAATTGCTCATTTACAGTCTTGACAATACAGCTGTTTACTAGCTAAAATTGGCTGTATTTTAAGTTTCTGGCTAAAAAGCAAATATATTAAAGCAGCCCACATAGCTAATTTAAGCATCGAACTTAGCTACTTTTTTGAATCGGCAGTCGGCAACACTGATTACAATACGATAGCTCGCATATTTTCTGCACAATGAACGTATCGATACCGCTGCAAGTTGTATTAGTATATCGATAACTTGCCAGTCACACCAAAAAGATGCGGATATATTGGTTAACAAGTTCTTTAAAATTGCTTAATTGCAATAAAAACATTTTACGGCCAACAGGTGTGCATCGTAATTTGTCCGCGACAGTACAGACCAATGGAGAAAATACACAAGTGACACCGCCGCCCCCAGTCATAGAAACTGTCGAAAACAACAACAAAAATCCACAGCAACAGCGAGCGCTTCATATAGCCGTAATCGGGGTACCAAATGTGGGCAAGAGCACCTTCATCAACAACATTATTAATCACAAAGTAAGGCATCAGAATTAGTAGAAATTTTGCAAATTGAACCAAGCTTTATTTTAGGTATGCCCCACCTCGGCCAAGGTGCATACAACCCGCAAAGCGAACACCGCAATTCTTACGACGGGCCAGACGCAGCTCGTCTTCTACGATACGCCTGGATTGGTGACACAGAACGAGATACGCAAACATCACTTAGAGCAGAGTTTCAAGAGCGCCTATCGCCATGCCATTCAACATGCGGATATTATAGCTGTTATGCAGGATGCCTCCAACAGCTGGACGCGTAAGGAGTTGCATCCCACAGTGCTTGACACGCTGAAGGCCTATGCCCAGCTGCCCAGTTTCCTAGTACTCAACAAAGTTGATGCCTTAAAATCAAAGCGTGTGCTCTTGGATCTAATTAAGACACTGACGAATGATACACTCAATGGCAAGCGTCCAAGCAAAAAAGCTGACTTGCCCAGCAGGGAAGAACAGGCGACGGCGGGCCATCCATTGAACAAGCGTGAAACTAGCTGGAATCATTTTAGTGATGTCTTCCTGGTATCCTCAATAACAGGCAGTGGCCTGCAAGAACTGCAGGACTATTTGATTAGCGCCGCCAAGCCAAGAGGCTGGCGTTACGCTGCCAACGTCTACACGGATGAAAAGCCCGAGTCGCTAATTGTGGAAAGTGTGCGCGCACGTTTGCTCGATTACCTGCCGCAGGAGATACCCTATAATTTGAAATGCGAGCTGGAATACTACAATGTGGAGAAGCGTATGTATAGCAGGCTGAACTAGATCTGTTTTTAATCTGTTCTTGATATTGCAGATGTTGTCTACACCTCGGTGGTGGTGCAGTGTCCTACGCCGCGAATTGAGCGCCTGATCTGTGGTGAATCGAATGGAAAATTGCGTCAGATAACCGAGCGTGTGACTTCGGATTTGGTGGAAATGTTTGGTCAAGCCGTTTCATTAACAATATCCACAATTTCCGGCGGCAAGAAGAAGGCATAACTGTTCCAAATCGGGTTTGTTGTTTCCTTCCTTTATTAAGTACAATATTAAAACAACAAATATTAGTTTAAATGCTATTTATAAAAGTTTCAAATGAGCAACTAGCTTATCCAGTTCGGCAGCTGTTGCCGGTCCCAAGCCCAGCACCGTGGCTGTGCCAGCTTCCAGCTGCGTGCGTCCGGCGTCCCTCACCAATGCGGCAACCACATCTGCTTGCTGTGCTTGCAGTTGCAGTCCGTTCAACTGTTCGTAGCTGTCCACGCGCAGCACAATCTTCGGCTGGCCCATGCGGCACCAACGTTGCAGCAGAGCGTTCTGCGCCTCGCTGCCCTGTGCAGCGTGTTGGTAACACATGACGGCGGCATGGGCGCACTGTGCTGCCGTTTTACCTTTGCCCATCTTGAGGTCGCCGCGCACGACTAGCGCCAGTTTGGTTGCGGCGCAGCTGCTGGTGCTGAGGAGTTTTTGTCTTATCTTATTTAACATTGGCGTACTTTTTGGTCTGCTGGTCCACGTAGTTTTGCATGCACGCCTTAAACTCTTTGACTTTGTCCTGGCACATGCGCCAGTCGCCCGTTTCTGCGATGCACTCCTGTACCTTGTAGTGTAGTTCAATGCAGCCTGTTTTCTTAAGCATCAATTCTACGGGATCCTGTTCCACAGCGGACATATTTAGCTTTTTTTTTGAGTGTTATGAAAGCAACTTCAGACTGCGGCAGGCGGCAACGTTCGCAGCGCTATCGACACTGGCACACGATTGATATCGATATTTGTGCAGGTAGCTTGCGATACTTTTGATATCTACAATATTTCAATCTATCGAAACGGTTCGATTACATGCAATTTGAAGGCGAACACCCGTTACATTCAAAAAACGATTTCAATTTCAAAGTGAAATTATAATTTAATAAAATAAAAAAAGTATTTTAATGTGTATGTAATATGCACATACTTGTCATATAAATCAGTATCACACATGGGCTGAATAATAAACACAAAATAAATACATATATATATGATGTGAGGTGTAACAAGTGTGAGACTAAAAAGTTTAGGAAACCAAAGTCATGGATAAGCTTAGGTATTTGATTTTCTTACAATCTGTCCAGATAATGTGCAAGTTCGGGCAGCCCTGGCTTGAGAGCCTTGCGCAAACGGGTATTCTGCACAATCTGGTAGGGTCTGCTGCTGGGCTCACACGGATCACCCGGCAGCAGCTGCCAATGATCGAACACACATTGGGGGAAGGCTTGGCCGCGTGTATTGGTACGCAGTTCGGCCGTGAAACCAAAAGATTCGTTGACAGGCAAATAACATTTTACCACATACATGGGCGTCCCTGGCACCTGTGCCTCCTCAAAGACATGACCACGCCGTCGGCTCAGCACCTTCTGTATGCCCCCAACAGCCAAATTATGGCATTGGATCTCGCACAGATACATCGGCTCCAAGAGCCGCGGACTCGCCGTGATCGCTGAGGCGTATAAACAGCGTCGTGTCGTTGGAATTATCTGGCTACCGCTACGGTGTACGGCATCAGCATGCACAACCACATCGTGTATATCGAAGCGTACCCCACGCATGTTCTCCTCGGCCAAGACGCCTTCTTTGGTTGCCCATTGGAAACCGGCAACTACCGAGTCTTTAATATCGTTCAGGTACTGCACCGATTTGGTACAGTCCACAATTATGTTCGGACCATTGCACTCCGGACCAAAGCACCAGATTTTGCGCGCTTCGCTCACGTCATAGTCGTACTTCTCGTTCAGGTAACGCGCGCGCTTCTTGAATTCATCCCGGGCAGACACAATGCCGCTGTCAATGTCCTCAGCCAAGCCATCGGGCATGGGTGCGGCTTTCATGGTCAAACGATTGTGTTTGTTGCGCGACTTGGACAGGCACAATTGGTTGGACTGCTCCAAGACAGTTTCGCGATATGATACCAGAGGATCTGACGTTTTAAGTGGAATACACGCATGGTCCTCCTCGAGATCCTTGATGCAAATTTCCAAATGCAATTCACCGGCGCCAGCTATAATATGCTCACCAGACTCTTCGATGATGCACTGCACCATGGGATCGGATTTGGCCAGTCGTTTCAGACCAATCACTAGCTTGGGCAAATCGGCTGGATTTCTGGGCTCCACAGCAACACGCACAACTGGCGATACGGAGAACTTCATTACCTGCGGGTTTTAAAACGAAAATGAGTTTTTTGATTGATTTACGTGAAGTTCACTTGCCTTCATGTTGTGCGCTTCCTTGAAGGTTGTGATTGTGCCCGTCTTTACCAGAAACTGGTCTACGCCGACCAGACCGCAAATGTTGCCCGCTGGCACATCCTCAATGGCTTCCACAGAGCGACCCATCATCAGAACCGTGCGCTGAATCGATTTTTCGTACAGATCCTCCTTCTTGCCGGGCACATAGTTGGGGCCCATGATGCGGCATTTCTGTCCGGTGGCCACCTTGCCGGCAAACACTCGACCGAAAGCATAGAAGCGTCCTATATCTGTGGTGGGCACCATTTTTGAGATGTACATCATCAGAGGCCCATCGGAATCACAGCTCCTAATCGCAATAGCCGCTTCGTCGCTCTGCGGACCCTCGTACAACAGCTCCATACGGTATTTCTGGGCTATCACAGGCGAAGGCAGGTGGATAGCGATCATTTGAAGAAGGGTCTCGCCCGCTGGCAGCCAGCTGCGCATCACTGTCTTCAGAAGCACCTTGCCCTGCTGCTCCTGCTCCTCGGGCTGCAGCCTTACACCAATTTTTTCTAACAAGCCGGATATCTCCTTCGTTTTATAGTTCATTATGGCATCGAATACCTTGTAGATAGGATCTAATATGTAAAGGCAAAATGAGCGCTTACTATCCGAATCCTGATGATTTTGCCATTTTCTTGTCTTCGTGTTGAAAAAGTTGTTGCCCCAGAGACTGTGAGTGAAATTATATAATGATAATATAAATGGGAAATGTTTTGTCAAATGATTTTAAACTTCCTCTCTCTAAAAAAATACTTAAACCAAAGGGATCTTAGAAACCTTTAGTGGGATAAAACAAAATGTTTAAATTGATTCCTTTAACTGATTTTAGTTAAAAATTAAAATCAATCAGAAAAACTTTCCATTCCTTTAAACTGTTTTCCTCCCGAACAATTCGTCATTAAAACTTTTAGAAGTACTTACCGGTTCATCAGTTTAGCCATATCGATCTTAAACTTGTCGGCGTACATTTCGGCGAATTGTTTCAGCGTGAAGGCCCAGCCGTGCAGACCCGAACCGAAGCCAACGGAACCCTTTGAGGGATCAACAGATACTTCGCCCATGGGTCCACTATCATCACTGTAGGTGGCAATGATGAGATTAACATTCTCCACAATGCGCTGGAATGTTAAGTACAGCTCCTCCGTGTCCAATTGTAGTTCGAGCAGAGCACGATCCATTTTGTTAAGGAACAGAATGGGTCTAATGCGTTCCGCAATTGCCTGACGTAGGACCGTCTCCGTTTGCACACAGACGCCGGAGACGCAGTCCACAACGACGAGGGCGCCATCGGTGACGCGGAGAGCGGCTGTCACCTCCGAGGAGAAATCCACGTGACCAGGTGAATCGATTAGATTGATAAGAAAACCGTTTGTGTCTTTTTCTCGCTGATCGGGTTGCGTGATAAAGCATAAATCCTTGTCCTCAACCTCAAAGTACATGGTGATGGCACTATTGACCGTGGAAGGGATACCATTATGAACTAAGAAAGGGCTTGAAAGAGTTATTATTGTGTTCAGCTTACGTTGATTTGATCGTAATGCAACGCTCCTGTTCGTCCCTGCGGGTATCGGTGTAGCGCATGGCGCCTGCCTTGGCTCCAGCTATGATGCCCGCCTTGCTGACCAGCGAATCCGTCAATGTCGATTTACCATGATCCACATGGGCTATAACGGATATGTTGCGTATATTACGCTTTTGTTCCATTAGGCCGCGTATTTCATCCAGCGAGAACTTCACCATTTTAAAAAACTTATCACTTATCAGTTTAACCACAAATAATTTAAATTTCGCGCTCACATTGGCGCGCTTTGAACGAGTCGAAGAACATTCTGGAATATTTCATGCTGCCGCCGCGCTTATAAACCCGTTCAATGTATCCATTTCATAATTACGGAAATAACAGCTACGGCTTTCATCGAATAGCTTTCCTATTGCTACGAAAGCTCGGATAGCTTTCAAAAGCTGAACGCTCGGTAAGCAAATGAAATTGCAAAGCAGTCAGTGGCGTAGAGAAAAGGGGCCTTTTTAATGAGATTCATTTGCTTATCAATTTTTATATTCTTTGTCATAAAATGTGTTAAATATAGTTTAAATCGTATGAGATCCTCAAAAGTATATATATTTCTGTTCAGTATCCGCCCGCCTGTTTCCATAACTATTATATAGCTGGATCGACCAGCTATATCTTATAGTAGCATAGGAACGATCGGTCGAAAATAATGTTCTAGTATAAAAAACTTTTTTGTTTTTTATCATATCTTTATCAGACTTTCTTCTATAGGTGCAACCAGTCGAAAAAAAGCGTTGCTAAGATTTTAAAGCCACAAGCGAGTTTTATCTATTTCTTTCTTCCTTGCTTTGCAGTTGATAAATATTGAAGACAGTGTTAATTTTTATTACTATATTTATTATACAATTTTTAATTCTGCTTAATTTTTTATTTGTTGCATAAACACCTCAAAAATTGCTAGCCCACGAAGCTGACATTAGTCATAATTTGGCTATCCATTATAAGTATAAAATATCATAGCTTTTCATGCTTTTAAAAGTTCGGTTTAAAGCTCGTCAAATCAAGTATATCAGCTTATATATGATATATTATATGATTATTGAAATCTGGCGAATATTACGTATTATTATTTTTTTTAACTTTTTTATTTGTACGCAAGATTTAATTATTTTTATTATTATTTTTTTTTTTGTTATTTCTGCAGTTAATTGCGAATTGGCATTAAATGCAATTTTGATGAAACTTCCTATTTCTTTAATTGTTGGCAGCCCGTTTAATTAGGATTTTTATTTAATATGCTGCTCACGTTTTTAAAATGAGACTTTTGTGTTACATTTTGGTCGTTTACTTTCACACAGTTAATTAGATAAGTGCCCCAGTTGCTGTTTTGTTTGATTAATTATACCTTGTTTTCGGAGGGGTTGCAAGAGTATGGTTAAAATTATTGATTATATCTTAAGAGATATTTCTCATAATTTAAATGTACTTTTGTAGCTTTTATGTTTGCAAATCTTTTATAGTATTGAACATTTTTGTTCATTTTTGGTTATGCTTCTCCCAAAGGTGTCTTAGCAAAGAGTATCTAGCAGTCAGTTGACTCTGCATTATACACTTATTACTTGTTTAATTTCGTGGAATTTGTCGTCAAACTCTAACGAAAATTTGAAGCAAACGCAAAAGTTACTTTCAGTAATTGAAACAATTTAAGCAATCCTTTTCATCAGTTTATTATTATTGTTATTATGATTGACGACGGCTGGGTACGGCGACTTTTGAGAATTGATATACTTGACGTCGAGTGTGGGAATTTTTGTTCAATACGAATTTTTTGACAACATCAAGTAGTACGAAGAATGAGGTGTTTAGACGGATTTTGGTTTTAACTTTTGTGTAAGGCTGCGAGCGAACTTTGAGTCGAACCGAGTCGAGCAAGAAATTGAAATGAATACAATGAAAACTGAAGCAAAGCCAGGTTCGCGAGTGGAATCTCAAGCCGGTGACTAGTTCGAGCTGTGAACCGAGTCAACTACATTTTCTTGCAGCCCTGCGGCCCTAGCCAATAGCTAAAATGATTTATGGCTAAGATTATTTATAGCAATATCTTAGCAAAAAGTTTTTGAGTTTATTGAGCTACGAGCTATTGGAAACACTATAAAAACGCATCAATTTATTCGATTGCCAACTGGAAAAGCCCAAGTCTCAGTAATTGTTGGAGTTACATGCGTTTTTCTAATACTTTTGCTTTTTTTTTCTATTTTTTTTTCGGCATGTTGTGTGTCATAAAACCATTCATAATTCATGCTTGGTCGGGTTTTATGGTTGGCTTTTGATCGCTTGCAATTTCTTGGGATTCCGTTTTATTCAAACGATTCACATTTGCACATTTGAGTGAATGAGTGAGTAAATGAGTGGGTGGATGGGTAAAAGGTTGATTGTAGTTACACGATTCTAACCCTTATCAAAAGTCTGGGCATTTACATAATTTGGCTGCAGCAACTGTCGCCAGGCATTAACATTACATATTTGGGCTTAATTGTTCGCCAGATACTCGCGTGTAATGCAGATGCCCGCCGTGGAGCAGCCGCAACAAAGTAGCGACGCCCACAAAGAAATGGATGCTTGTTTATGGTCTGCTCTCTGCTTGACTCTCGCTCCAGTTGCATTATTCATGAGCGTCTGTGGCGCGTGTCCAATGCCGCAAAAAATATATATGTATATGTATGCGCACATGTTTGGTGTGGGGGCAGCTGCCCCAGCAAGGCTAGTGCGGAGGGAGGGCGGGGGGGGGGGAGAGGGGGATTGGTCGGTCTTTAGTCTAAACTGCGTCGCATCGTTTGCCTCGCTTACATGACGCACTTGTCAAGTAGGAAGCGCACAACAACAAAAGCCCACGCATCGTCTGCTAGTGTAATGTTTATCAAGTCGTATACTTTATTTACATTTTGAGCAAAATGCAAATTGGCGTCTTAAACAGAAATGCTTTCGTCTACAGTTGCTTTATTCGCATTCCAACTCTAACTCGATTGCTCCTCCCATCCGCAGCTGACGCTATGCGCACTTCCGTTTCCGCCCACCTCAAATTGTCACGGTATATTGTTTACGCTTGCCAAACTTGCAGAATTGTGGTCAAAAACTTGTTAATTGCCAGTTGGCAGCCAACCGCCCCAAAAAAAAGTTTACCTGGTAAGCGATACTTGACAGCATATTTGGCAGGCAAATTTAAATATTCCGATGTGTACAGCTCGCCCTTCTGATTCATTTGGTCAACTTTGCGAAAAAGCCATGGCGATAAATTATATTTTATTTTGCAGAAAGTTTGCATTATTTGTGTATATATTTTCTACAATGCAGGTCAAGTCAATAGGCATTTTCTGTTAATTTTTATAGTCTCAGAGATACATTTTAATTTTACACATTCATTTGCATCTTGAAGATACTTTTATAGTCTGTAAATGCAGTTGTGTCCCACAGATATCTGTGCAATTAAAACATATTTTACATGCTCTAGATACATTTTGTCGCTCGGATACCTTTGTATCTTATAGATTCATTTAAATCCCACAATTACTCTTGTGCATATTAACTTATTCTCTTGCATCTTAATGCTATTTTTGTAACTTGTATATCCAAGAGATAAATTTGATCTTACAGATTAATTTTCATTCCACGCATACTCATGTATATATTGCAAAGATTGTATCCTCATGTGCTTGCGTATCTAAGAGATACTGCTGTAAGAAATTTAATGTGTAGCCTATAGATACACCTCCAATTAAAGTATATTGCAACTATTTTAATAGATAAAAGTACAGTCCATATTCCATATTGCATATTAATTTGTATTTTACGAATTAGCTTGTATTTCACAGATACTTTCTTATTCAAATGGCATTTGTATTTTCCTTGTATCTTTTGTATCTAACATTTATTTTCGGATATACACTCTTGTTTCTAATTAGGGATGGGCAAACACAATAGTTGCTTTTATTGGGTTTTAATTGCTTTTTATACAGGATTCAGCTGAAGAACTCTTCAAAGCAGACAAAATCCGGTTGAAGAAGAAATGTTTATGAATATTTTTTTTTTAAAAATATGCTTAATTGCCAAAAAATGGAAATTGTTTCTTGGAATTGAAATAAAGTCCAAGCAAGCATAAATGAACATAAGCTGATGCCAAGGTTAGTAACTTTTCGCAGCTGTTGCTTTCAATCAATATATAGCCGTGCCAGGCAATATTCCTGCCGGGCCTGATTGACATTAGGTTAGTGAGGCGTGGCGCTAAGAATTAAACAAAACAACGGCAATGGCATTGATAATGCTTTAGGCAGCTAAAAGCCTCCACGGCTGCTGGGTCGAAAATAAATTCAGTGAAGCATTACAGAAATTAGCCAGCTTGCTGAGAATTCATTCTTGCTGCTAATTATTTATTTAAGAATGCGCAATCAGCACAAAGCAAGTTTTTTTTATTTTAGGCAAACCTTGTGCCCTCAATTAAAGTCTATAATATGAAGCATATACTTTTAGAGGAGCGTTGAAAACGGCCAATTTGTTGATACCTTCGCACAAATGTGTTTATAGATAAATTTTATACAAAATTAGGTTTTGGCAATGCTTGAATGCTGAAACAATAAATACATTTGAGGTGTCAGAAAATATAAAATTTATGTTTTATATGGGAATCACAGTATCATTAAAGTATTATTAAATCTGCTTAAATCATGCTTTTTATTAAAGCTAGAACTTTCTATTAATCTCAAAAAGTAAAGAAAGCTTTTGCTACAGACAGCAAAAGAACTGATTTGTGCTTTTCATTGGAATAAAAATGAGCTTTTATACCATTTGCTAATAAAATATATACAACAGGCAGTTAAGATATGTGCTTTGTTGTACTAAAAATGAGCTTTTAGATCATTGGCTAACAGTTTCACATTTATTGACTAACTTTATGCAAGGAAGTTTTAAGTTTATTAAGGTTTAACTTTGAAAGCTCTTGAGGGCTTAATGTGACTTGGCAGGACATCGCACAAGCGCATTAATGCTGTAAGCTTTAATAACTGATACCAAAGCTTTATTAATTCGACAACATGCTGCACTTTCCTCTTTCGAATTCTAAGCTTGTAAGGCTAATGTCATTTTGGCATAGCCTGAGCAACAATGCATTCATAATTGAATTTAGGCCAATGCATTTATCTCAAATGGAATATCAAATTTTGGCAAATTGGCATTGGCGCAAAATTGTAAAACGATTAGTTACACACGCACAGGAAACACATACGCACTCGTTAGCAATTACACAATTGTCGCATTTGAATTAATTTCATTCGCAATAAATTTCAAAATTTGCCAAATTCGGTAAATAAATTCTACGTACACACTTCTCTGCATAATTGGCCTTTGATTTCATTTGTCAGCTGGCTTAAATTAAACACGACGGCTGTATTTTTGTTACTAACTAGGCTGGGTCAATATTTGATCCATGTTTATGCGGGTCAAAGCCAGCTACAAGTCACCTGTCCAGCTGTTGGCAACTGTGCAAATAGGCCCAACTCTATGTTGGCTAACTATAAAAAGCCGCTGACCAGTGGCAGCTACAGCATTACGCACTCTAATTTGCTATAAACAATTTGCTAATTTACACTACCCATCATGAATTCGACGACGCTGCTGATCTATACGCTGCTGGTGTCCATGCTGCTGCTTCTTCAAGCGCCGGCTGGCGAGTCCACGTTTCTATTGATTGCCTGTCTTTACCGTTTGAATATCTGTCCGTTCCGCACGACTACGACAACGGTGGGGACAACATCTTCTAGGTAAATAACTATTGGGAAAGAAACACAAACAAATTGCATTGGCAACTTAACAACTAATTAAACCTATTAAATCTATAATAACTTTTAGTTGGAACAATAAATGTGTTTATTCAAATGTGATTTTAGTTGAATATTTGCATATTTAATCTAAAAAGCGCCTTCTTTTACTTGTTCAAATAACCCTTTACAATTAACCTCGAGAGCGGCGTTTTTTAACTTCATGCTTAAACATTTTGGGAATTACAGCGCAAGTCTTTAAATTTTTGAGTTGAGTTGAGCATTTTGATCTATTTCCAAAAGATTTAAAATGTTCTCCAAACTAAGATAACTTTTAAATTACTCTCGGTGTGAAGTCCGTAAATTCTGGAATTCGATTCAATGACATGGTCATTACTTTTTATGGCTCTTTGAAACTTTTGGATCTATTTGTAAAAGGGTTGAAATTTTCTTTTAACTAGGAAAACTTTTGGAACCCCCTCGGTGTAATAATTAGCTTTCAAAATAGCTCGGACGGTTTATTAATGCAAATATTATTTGCAGTTGGCATTGAATTTAAGACGTATAAAACGTCTACTCCAATCTATTCAAGTTTTGTTGTTCATGGTTGCAATTGTCTTTCACGTTGATTTGACATAAAGATTCTCTTATATCTTCTATTTATTTCCATGTTCATGTGGAGCCATGCTTATTCGTGAACACTTCCCAGCAACTGTTTTTAAGAGCTGCCCTGTTTCCAAGCATTTTGTATGTTTTTGTTTATTTGTATATATTCAAATATAGAAACAAAAAAAAAAGCTTGAAAGCATAATAAATGTTTTTAAATTAAGAGCATTTAATTGATTTAGTGGAGGGTTAGTTTTATAAAATTATTAACCTGCTTTGAAAACCTGCATCCATCAGATATTTTTGTCAGCTTGGCCATTTATTTCAAATTGATTGACTGTCCACTAAATAATTTATTATTTATCCTTTTGTTAGTTGTTTGCACTATATGATATATAATTTAAGATGGCATTTTCTAAAATTCGAATTGGGCTTTTGTGCAAATTTAATTGGAAAGTATTTCACACGTTTCCCTGAAACCACGCCGCTGGGCGGAAAAAAATCTTTACAGTTTGTAGAGCAGGCGCAAAAATTTATTGTCAGATTGACTTCAAACTAATTCCAGCAATAAATTAAATTTAAAAGACATAAGTACAATTTTAAACAATTTTAGAAAATCTACCCCAAAATGGTTTAACCCGATGCGAACAATTAGGGGCTCAATGTAGAGGGGGAAGCATTCTACTAAAAGGTATAAAAGTGAGAAAACGTGGGCCGAGCAAGGCCGGGTTGTTGTCGCCAATTATATACATTACTCTAAGGGCTTTTTCTTGGCCAACTCAAAGATAAATGTTTATTTGCAATTAAACAACTGCACAGTCGCCTTTAGTGTAAATATTAATCGAAACCTAATGCACAGCTGCCCAGAGTTTAATGACTGTTAACAATGCAAATAAGATATATATATAGCTTGGGGCATATAAAAAGGGCTCCGTTCTACACGTAGCTCAGTTCTCGATAATTACAATTGCCACAGACCATGAAGTCTTTAAATTTATACTTGTATCTCACATTGACCGTGCTGCTAATGTTGTGCTGTGCCTCAATGGCTAAACCGTGCCTGCCACGTTGTCCTTGGCCATATTCATATTTCGGTTGTTATTTCACAACCAGAGCACCAGCGGTTACCACAGGCGGCTAACTTTATTTGCAATTCAGTTTAAAGAAACTGAGCACAAATAGAAAATTTCAAAAATTTTGGATGTTTTAAAGTTGAACATTTTAAAAAAATAAAAAAAAAAAGCGACTTCAATCAAATAAATTGATGTTATATTTGCTTCTTTAGGAAAATAATTAAATTAAATATATATACAAAATTGTAATTTTACCATCGCATCGGTTTCAAAATCATTTTCAATGATCTTTGTTAATATTCATTTTAAACGTGTTTCATCATTTTCAGAAATTCCGCCAACATGGATGAAAAATTAGCTTCAATAAAATGCGAGTCCCGCGATTTTGTTGCACGCAAATTCTTTTCAAACATAACTCACCAATTGCGATGAATTCACTCCGCTTAGTGGAAGTAAAGATTTCCATGTGCACGAAATGGGTGAAAATGTGATGTATACAATATTAGGCAAAAACAGGGCCCAATCAAAGACGGGCAGAATAAGAGTTGCATGAAAAATAAGAAAATTATACAAAAAGTCAACTCTGAACCTGCTTTATCGTGAAAATAATTAAACTCCAGGAAAACACATTCCAGCTCTTGAGCACTGTAATTAAAAGCTCTATAAATACGCATCCGTTTGCCATTTGCCAGGTGGTTTTAATTGCCATCGAAGTGACAACAAGTGGCCACGTTTTGTGGATGCGCTGCTCCCGTTCGACGTCCAAGTGGGAGTCAACTCAAGTCAAATAGAAGCTCTTCTGCTTCGATGAGTGCTCTGGCTCATTGGAGACAAGGGATGAAAGTGCAAAGTTTTTTGTCATTAGTTATTTGCACTAATTAAGTGCAAAGCGCATTAAAGCCAACTCAACGGGAAAGCTTTTACTTTCATCGTTGACTACGTGCCATGGTTATATAATTTCAGTAACCGAACTCAAGCTCAAACTCAAACCCGAAAATGAACTCGAGACGCTTCCAATGAGCAATGGCCACATTCAACTTTTGTTGTTGTTGTCGTTGTTATTATAGTTGTTCATGTTCAGGCAAAAGGCAAATGACATTGTCGCATAGAATTACCCATTACTCAACTCAGCTTTGCCCAGCTTAGCAAAACTTAACTCAACCCGAGTCTCCCAGGACTCACGCCTCGAACCCGCTGGAGGAAAATTCGCTTTGTTTTTGCTGGAAATTTAATAGCAGCTCAGGATATTTTTCACTGCGACCTCTATTGTGGATATTGTGATTAATAAGCCCATTTTTCGGTTCTTCTTGCAAGTTCAATTGGAGCAAACAAATATTATTTTACAGCTAACTTCGAAATGGAAGATTATTTAGTGCGGCTCTTAAACCTTTTGAGAATTATAAGTACTAATGTTTTTTAAATTGTAGAAAGTATTCCGCTGAGACATTTTTGTGAGAAATGTGTTGAATGAACAAACTGTTTTATAAATACAATTTATAGTTAAGAATAAATTGTTAAGACAAGAATAAATTTTGTGAGTGTGTATTTTTTGTACATTCCAAAAACTGACTTTTCTTAAAATTAATTTTGAAATTTGTTGCAATTATATCCAATTCCCTGTTGAATTATATTTACTTTACTTTTTACTTATCATAGATACATATATGTTGATGAATTTCTGCGAACCTTAACATAATGTTGCTCAGGGTCAACAATAATTGTAAATTTCCATTTTAAGCCCTTATATTCAAGTAGTCCATGTAAATTGTCCTCCCTAAAGAATTCTTTGCAAGCAAAAATATTGCTTTATTCTGTTGCATAGAAAAAATGTGTGAATATATTTCACATTTGCCGGGAGCGCAGTTTGTGCCCCAATGGAAGCAGCAACAGGATCCAAGACGTGACCCCAATCAGCAAAATTAAATTTGCAACACACACTCACACACACACACACACACATACACATATGCAAATAAAGCTATTTACAGTTGTACTCAAAAATTAACATTTCGTCAGCAGAAGCCGCAATTTTTTTTTTCCAATTTCCAACTCATCGGCAAATGAAACAAAGAGCCGCGGGCTGCGCAGAAGGAAGCTCAAAAAAAGAAAGAACCTTTCGATGTCCTGCTTGTTGTGCTCATATTCTTGTGTGTGTGTGTGTGTGTGTGTGTATCTGTTTGCATAAGTGTAAACAACAAGCGAAATTCAAAATGGAAGTAAAAGTGGCCCAGCTGTAACATCTCCCACACGACTTACAGGCTATTAGAGTTATGTGTTTTCGTACTACAATTAAATAGGGTATTGGTAGATATAATATTTTTGTTGCAAAATTTAAGAAGAGTATTTGCAGTAAAAAACCATAAGTGTGAGATGGCCAGAGATGAATTTATTATATTTATATATTACATTCTTTTCAACGAGGAGCTTGGAATAGGCGTGTGGTGTATTATCGAAGTTTTGCTGAACAAAGATCGGTCAATTAAATATTATATATTCATTTTCTACAAATCAATCCATGCAATATCTACCATGTTAATTGAAATATTACTCTGTTTTTAAACATTTGTAAACACAATAAATTTTTTGAAAAGCCTGGCATAGAAAGAAAATCGAAATTAGAGCCGTTAATAGTCTGTTATTAATTTGAAATTTTCGAAAATCAATAAATTATTTCTAGACATTTAAACGCTAGCAGAGTCAAAAGAAAAGGGCCATTAAATGCTTGTAAGCTGTTGACAAATGTTGCAAAATGGAAAAGCCAATAAAGGCGCACACAGACACACCCACACACACCCACACACCCGACACACACAAAACAAATGCAATTCATACAAATCAATTGACATTTAATTAGCTGTTTGGGATGCCAAACAAAAAATATATGTGCTCAAGAACTATGAAAGGGCGACGACGGGACGAGTAGTCACTTAGAAAATCAAGGACTTTTGACCTTGCAGCTGTCGCCGCCATTCGGTTAAGGGGGAGCTAAGGTTCGTTTCAAGCAGTCAGCAAAATCCCAGTTAAACTGCGCAAAAAAAAATGCTAAATAAAAAAATATATCGTTGTCTGCCTTAGAGCGCAGCGGTTGGCGAAAAATTCAAAGCCATAGAATGTTATTTTTAAACATTTGAAGCTTTATGGTAACAAAAAAAAGTTTTTAAGAAGATGTATTACAAGAAAGAAAATGTCTCTCACGAATTCACTTCGGTTTAGAATTAGTTTTAAAAATAACGATTAATATTGCTATAATTCTTTATTATTATTTTTTTTTCTTTTAAATATTATATTTTTTTATTATTTATTTTTCTTATAATATTGATTATTTATTATTTTAATTATTTTTGTTCTTAATATTTTTATTTTCATTATTTCTTATTATTATTATTGGTATTTATTAATTCTATAATTATTATTTATTATTTTTAATTTTTAGTAAATACTAAAATAAT